CTGTCTGTCCGTCTCAGGCCAAGTGCCACCCCTGGACCGCGGCACCAACTCCCACGCAAGTCTGGGCCCCGAGTACGAGAAGGTGAAGGTTTTGGCAGGAAAATCGCTAACTAGGGAACCACAAAAGTTAAGAAGCTGAAACTTTGCAGTCATGTTCCCCGTCCAATAGAACACAAACATTTCAAATCCAGCCTTCAGGCATGCGTGCTTTTCAGGTATTGCCCAGTGAAGGTTCCCGGCGGGAAAATCGCTAACTTGGGAACCAAGAAAGCTGGGAAGCTGAAATTTCCAGGGAATGTTTCCAGCACAAGTGCAATTTGAAATCGTCAAATTTAGCTCCTAAGTGTGTGTGGTACTCATGTACGGCCTTGTGAAAATTTTTGGCTGGAAAATGTCTAACTCGGGAACCAGGAAAGCTCGGAGGCTGAAATTTTCAGACAATGTTTTTAGCAAACGTACAGCTTAAGTTTATTAAATTCAGCTCTTGCGCATGCATGGTTCTCACGCACGGCTCCGTGAAAATTTCTGACGGGAAAATGGCTAAATCGGGAACCAGGAAAATCGGGTGGGTGAAATTTTCAGAGAATGCTCCTAGCACATATTCAATTTATATGTATCAGATTTAGCCTCTCAGTGAAAAAAAGAATGGTAGTCACATACGGCCTCGTGAAAATTTTTGGTGTGAAAATGGCTAACTTGGGAACCAGGAAAGCTAGGGAACAGAAATTTTCATGGAATGTTCTCAGTTCATGTACGTCCTAATTTATCAAACTCATCACCCGGGCGTGAGTGATTGTCATGTACGGCCTCGTAAAAATTTTTGGCAAGAAAATTGCTAACTCAAGAACCAAAAAATTTGGAAAGAAGGAATTTCAACGAAATGTTCCCTGTCTAAATATCACGTAAACAATTAACTTCCCGGGCTTTGAGGACCAGTATATCACACAATTCTGGTTAGTGTGTTCCCGAGCGATCTCATTACAGCACGAAATAATGCAGAAACGCATGACTGCACGGGCCCACCTGGTGCGCGCAGCCAATGATCTAACAATGCAAGTCAATATTTAATTTTTTTGCTAATTCCAGCTTCCAGGATTTCTTTTATAACTTTCTAGAAAAGGAATTCTGGAAAATGTGTGGTCGGTTCTTCCCACCGTTCTACCCAAGCCCGAAGCCAGCGCCACGGAATACCTATGAACGAATGTATACGCACGGCACTCGGTTCGTCGATTTTATGATGAATCACACTTCCTGGGAGTATGAATAAAACTCTTCTCTTAATTTCCTAAAAATCAAGATATTTTGTGAGAAATACTTTGATACACTGTTGAAGAGTGCACCTGATGAAAACTTAATTAGAGTCTAGCTCAACTGCACAGTATTTGTGTTTTATCCCAGTGACTTCGAGAATCTCATACTGGTGATTCGAGGAATCTGATAGATGCGATAAGTTTAACAAAGAGCGGTAGATATGGGAGGCTAACAAATGTTTTTTTCAGGGAAAACGATCTGCTGCGTATTGTGCTCAGCTTCCTGATTTGCGAAATCGTTGGCATACTTTTTTTCGTTTCCATTGCTCTCAAATATGCTGCTTTTCCCAGTCGGTATCGCTTCTGTTCAGTAAGACTCAAGTACTTAACTGGTAGAGTAGAACTCTCAACTTTCTGTCACACAAGAAGTTGAGAGTTCAACTCTGCCAGTGTCATAACTAATCCCTATACGAGTCGTTCATTTTTATGATTGTTCGTTCATTTTTATGCATTGCGCTATAGCGCTGCACAGCAAAAATGCATTAAAATGAACGATCGTAGAGGGATTAGTTATGACACGCTGCTACAGCCAGCAAAAACGCATATTGTCGAGAGGTGGTCTGTGTGTGTGTTCGGAAAGCGAGTGCATTTTGTCACCCACTTTCATCTCAGCAACCAGGAAAG